GTGGACGCATGGCAAGACGCGAGTTATGTTTAATCGTCATAGTGCTTGCGATGGTGGCGATGGCGATGCTTGTGGCTATCCTCATCGTTTGAGTCATCATCACCCTGCCATTTTTATTTTAAAGTCTAGTCACAATCTAGGAGCTAAGAAGCAATTCACATTATATAAGATTCAATGCTGCAGGAATATATATTAATTACGTAGTTCTAAATTGAAATGGAACTAATGCACTCTTGAATCTGCACTGAAGACAGTTCTTGGCACAGAGATGGTGCAAGCACATCAGTTTGTACATTTTGCTTTTCCACAGCTTAAGTGGACTGATCATAGCAATGACACTGGAATTTGGAAGGATCAGGCTTCAAATGAAACTGAAGCAATAGGAAAACATAGTGATCATTCAGGAGATTTCGCTGGTCCTTCAGCATTAGATAGATCTGTAAACTATTCAAACTAGTCAGATAACCATCCAGATCCAGAGTGCTCCTCAAATTGCTCAAACCTTGATGAACATAAATCTTCAGAGATTGAAGTTGTTGAAGCCTCACTGTCTGATAAACATTTTTGGAAAAACATTATTGATATTGTGAATCATAATGTTGTTCAGAGAATTGGTTTTCCTGCTTTTGATAAAATAAGGTGGGATGAATTTGACTTGTTAAATAAGATTGGGTTGCAGTCTCAACAAGTTGCAGACGCCAGTTATATTGAATCTGGACTTGCTACTCCTGAAAAGCAGGAAAGGTTGGTACCACAAATATCATTTCTTACGCTTCAGTTTATTCCCATTTTTCAGAATGTGAGGTCAACCAGGTATGTACCTGACAAAATGTCTGGATCCCCGAGCTGCTTCTATCAGTAGAGATGCTTTGGCAAAAACTGTCTACTCTAAACTGTTTGATTGGTAAGTTGCCAAAATTGCTAGGTTTTGCAGTCCTTGTCAGTATCAGATGTAGCACATTTTACATATTTTCTTATTCAGGCTTGTTGAAAAGATTAATAAATCTATTGGCCAAGATCCCGATTCTCAGTTGTTGATCGGGGTTCTTGATATTTATGGATTTGAGAGTTTCAGGACAAACAGGTGCTTAGCTGGTATGCTTTTAATTTATTTTCATCATACATAGAGGTTCATTTCTTGCAGAGCGTGTATTAATGTTCTGTTAAAGTACATTGCCATGAAACTAGTACTCCAGTTGTTTAGTTTCTTCTTTTCTGATAGGTTTATGTTATGATCTTGGATCGTTTCTCTTAGTTTAATGAGCTACTAGATAGTTTCACAGAGAACAAAACAACAATGAGGGAATTTTTAAAGAAAATAAAAGTCAATAAAGTTTATTAATCAAGCCATAACCCAAAGTTCAATGCTGGCATGGTTTGTGCTATTAATTCTCCTTTCTTTTTCATTATAAAGGTTTGGTAAACAAGCCTTACCAGTCAATATTTTTTGCAAGTGCAGTTTGAAATACTCCCGAGGGTTTTTATTTTTGCAAATGAAAGTAATCTCTTTCATGCAGTTTCGAACAGTTTTGCATTAATTTGACCAATGAAAAGTTACAGCAACATTTCAACCAGGTATGTACCTGACATATATTTTACTATCATAGCAGTACTTTCATACATAAAATCCTTATATCGCAAAAAAATTTGATGAAATCTTAAATAGTAATCTGATATTGGGTTTGTT